TTAATGCCGAATGCTAGAGCATCCCTTGATGGCGTGCTCGGTGTGATGACAACACTTCTGGGTAGCGTCATCGCAGGGCGTGCGAAGCTCCTAGATATGGAACTTCCAACCCCTGCTGGATGCCAGGTAGGGACCTGTTAACCCTAGCATCATGAAAAAGCCTAAAGCTGCTTCTGCTACCTACTCCGAGCAGTGTCCAGCTGCTGTCCTTGTGCATGGGCAAAATAAGCAACTGTCCTTCCATGTGCCTTCTCCACTGTGGCCCCCAGCTTGTGGAACAGCCTCCCTGAGGAGGTCAGGAAGGCTCCCGCTCTCCTGGCTTTCCACAAACTGTGCAAACCTGATTTATTCCAGAGGCCTTTTCTGTGCAGGCAATAGAGTTGCGCTGTATTAAATGATTCACAAAGTTACTTGGAAAAAGTTTTAGGGACTGGGCTGTACTGCTTTGTATAGCTTGCTGAAACTAGGATCCTGCTATGTAATCTTTGCATCATGTAAGTAGGGGTGTCAAACATGTGGCCCGGGGGCCAGATTAGGCCCCCAGAGGGCTTCTATCAGGCCCGCAGTGGAACCGGCTGTCTTCTGCTTCTTCTTCCAGTTCTGCTGCTGCTGCATCATCGTAGGTTTGTGACTTACAGATACACACCTGAACAGCATACTCAAGATTGCAACAGCACAGACATTTTGATGCAATAATTCAGAGCAAGAGGTGTCAGTTATCAGACATTGTTAAATAAACTAAATATTGCAAGAGTGCTCATGTTTAAAGCATGTTTTTATTTTAAGTAAAAAAACCCACCTTTGTGTCTGTGTCCTTTATAAAGTTTATATCTCGGCTACCTGGCATGACATTTTATGACACGCATGGCCCAGCCCAACAAAGTCTCATTTATGTCAGATCCGGCCCTCATAAGAAATGAGTTCGACACCCCTGATTTAATTTGTTTCGTTAATTATGCTTGGCTTCATAGAATCATAGAGTTGGAAGGTACCTCCAGGGTCATCTAGTCCAACCCCTTGCACAATGCATGTATTTTTGTAGTACAGAAGTGTGCATGCCCAACATCTGCACCCTTCTTCAGTTCTGTTTTTAGACTTCTGGTGGTTTCTACAACCCTAATCCTGTTGCATTGTTTACTGAATGTCTCATCTGTCAGTTTTATTGACTAACTCTTTGTAATCTGCCTTGAGTCCAAGTGAGAAAGGCAGACTGTAATTAACATACATAAATTAAGTAAATAAACAGGCTCCTCCGGACTCAAGTTGGGAAGTAGCCTGGAACTACCTCTTGCTTTCCAGAGGCCTTCCGCTGGTTCTCTCTACCATCTGAGATCAAGCAGATCATGACCACAGAGAGGGCATTTTTCATCTATGAAACACCTGCCCCAGACGGTTTCATGAGATGCCTGTGATAATTTTGTTTAGGTTCTGTTGAGACTGTGTTTTCTGTGGCTTTTCTTGATAGGGTTATGCTCACTCCTGTCTTTTTAAAAGTTGTGTTGGATTTTCTTTTGCTTATCTGTTCATATGGTTCTGTTTTTCTCCCTCCAGTTTTGCATACACTTGAATTTATTTTTATTTGAGGTTCTTGATTTTATTGCTTGCAGCTGGGTGGACTTTTTAAAGTTGAAAAGAGGCCTATGAATAAGACTCCCCCCCCCCCTGGAATTTGAGGTTCTTTTGCACAGAGAATTTTCTTATAGCCTGTTCTAATGCCATCCTAAGCTGAGTTAACCCTTCTAAGTGCGCTGAAATCAGTGGGCTTTTAGCATCCCATCAAGGATCACACCTAACAATGGAGCCACTTTGCTTTACAGATCAACAAGACTGTAATAATGTACTCCCATAGACTTACCCTGTGACTTTTCTCCCCTAACTTCTTCTGTGGATTTATCTACTATCCCTTGTTTTGCCTGGAGACTACTTGGGAAAGTCAGTGGACCTGTAAGGGTTTAACTCTGCTTAGGATTTCACTGTTAGCGTACCCATACTAATTTAAAGGAGAAAGCATTGATAGCAGTACAGATTATTTAATGATTATGTTACTTGTTATAAATGTTGCTTCTTTTGGAATAAGACTTCTTCCAAGGAACTAAATCCCCCCCCACACACATGATGTCTTGCAAATGTATTAGATGCCGTGGTTTAAGAGACTGAGCTGTGTCTTTTTTCCCCTTTTCTCCAATTTCAGAATATGACAGATACCTAGCATCCAGCAAAAGCATGGCAGCAGCTTACCTAGATCCAAACTTGAATCACACGCCAAGTTCAAGCACAAAGACACATCTCAGTACTGGGATGGAGCGTTCCCCAGGGGCCATGGAACGAGTCCTAAAGGTTTTCCATTACTTTGAAAACAACAGTGAGCCAGCAACATGGGCGAGTATTATACGTCATGGGGATGCTACAGATGTTTGGGTGAGTTGTTTTTGTATAAAGTATTGCAGAGATGGTGGTATGAAGGTCTTTCTCAGGTTGTGATATAGATGACTTGAGACTGAGTAGAAGAACACAGATGTACTACTTGGAAGTCTTTATTCAGCCCATGCTGTGAGTCATCCCAGGTAAAGCTTTAATTTGTAGGAATTTTCTCAGGAGAAGAGGGGGAGATGCAAAACCGTTTGTGTGCCAACTTAACTAACCTAAATAACTCAATTTCCGTACCATGATTCTCATTTTTGTCAGGCAGTAGCTTAATTTGCTCCGGAATTTTGGGCTATGTATGAAGATGTTTATTAGTATCTAAAAGTGGTATGAGAAAGTTGCGGTTTTAAAGTCCATTTAAGAAAAGGGAGTGTGCTGCATAGTGCAACCAGAATGGTCTCTTTGAACCAGACCTTCTTCTGACAGATGGAATCCAGTTGGCCTTCTAAATGCAGTTGTTGTTGTTGTTAATTTATTTACCGTCCTCCCGCAAGGGGCTCAGGGTGGTATACAACAAAATCAGGTTTAAACAAGTTAAAAACAATAAATAGAAAATAGTAAATGGTTAATAATGCATAAAACAGTATACACCCTCAGAATAATTGATGGTGTGTGTATAACTCCACTCCCTCCTTAGGACAGTTCACAGACTGGGATTGGTAAAGGCCGTGGTGGAGGCCTTGGTAAGGAACCATTGCTGTCCTCAGCCATAGGCCTGGTGGAACATCTCTGTTTTACACTGAGTGAGGTCCTGGAATGAGCAGATGTTACTAGGTAGGGAGTTCTCCCAAGCTGGGGCCAGGACTGAGAAGGCCCTGGTCCTAGTTGAGGGCAGCTGGATTTCTTTTGGGCCAGAGATCTCCAGAAAGTTTTTGTCTCCCAAGCATAAAGCTCTTCGGGGATATACCGAGAGAGGCGGTCCCGCAGGTATGTTGGTCCCAGACCATTAAGGGCAAAACCTTGAAGTGGATCTGGTACTTAACTTGGAGCCAGTGCAGCTGGCGAAGCACAGGTTGAATATGAGCAGTCATTGGGGTACCCATAAGTTCCTGCGCCGCTGCATTCTGAACAAGCTGTAATTTCCGCTGCGTTCTGAACAAGCTGTAATTTCTGGATCCGCCTCAAGGGTAGCCCTACATAGATCGAGTTACAGTTATCCAGTCTTGAGGTGACCGTTGCGTGGATCTCTGTGGCAAGATCGGGGCTAGAGAGGAAAGGATCCAGTTGCCTGACCTGGCGAAGTTGCCAGCCAGGCAACATGTGCTACCTGAGCCTCCATTGATAGAGAGGAGTCCAGGAACACACCCAAGCTCTCGACGATTCGTGCTGGTTTTAGTGGCGCACTATCGAGCATTGGGAGTTGACACCCCAACCTTGGGTCGCTCCCACCCAGCCACCAGACTTCCATCTTTGAGGGGTTCAGTCACAGCCAGCTCTGTCTCAGTCATCCAGCCACAGCCCCCAATCCCTCAGCCAAATTAGATGGGGCGGCATTCGTCCGTCTGTCAATAGGTACAGCTGGGTGTCATCAGCGTCGCTAGGGGATGCTCTAGCGTTCGGCATTAAAACTCTATGGTACCATAGAGTTTTAAAGCGGACCACTGGAACATCTCTTGACAGCGTGCTCGGTGTGATGACATCACTTCTGAGTGACATCATCGCAGGGCGCGTGAAGCTCCTAGATACGGAGCTTCCAACCCCTGCTGGATGCCAGGTAAGGACCTGGTAACCCTAGCATCATGAAAGAGCCTAAAGCTGCTTCTGCTACCTACTCCAAGCAGTGCATGGGCAAAATAAACAACTGCCCTTCCATGTGCGTTCTCCACTGTGGCCCCCAGCTTGTGGAACAGCCTCCCTGAGGAGGTCAGGAAGGCTCCCACTCTCCTGGCTTTCCATCCATCCGTCAATAGGTACAGCTGGATGTCATCAGCGTACTGGTAATAGAAGGCAAAAACAAGTGTAGTAAACAGACTCACTACTTACAAATTGCCAAAATGCTAAAGAACATGTAATAGAAAGTAGCGAATACAAAGTAGCCATGTTAGAAAAATACAAAATAGAAACAATGAAGAACTTGTGTAAGAATACACTACAATAGAAAAATCCACAGAATAACGGAGAACTAATATAATAATGTAGCGTTGTGTCCGGATATTTGATTACAGTGTTTCAAAGTTCATCCTTCGTCAGGATGTTAACAATTCAATACAAGAATGGACACAAATCTCCAATGTGTCAGCAGCTTCAGCAGTTTCAGACTTCCAGCGGGACATCAGCGTCAATGTTCCTTCTAAGTTGTGGAGTCTTGTGAGCAACCCAGTCAGTTCTGACACAGGTGGTCTCTACTTGACACAGCTAAACAACCCAGTCAGTTCTGACACAGGTGGTCTCTACTTGACACAGCTAAACAACAATCTTTTACATTCACGACAGAGATACAAATCTTTACCAAAAGAGTGTTGTTGGGAGTGAGTTCGTGCAAGAGTTTGACAAAATCTCCCTGGAAGGAACTGTCAGCCTACCCCTCTGTAAGCACAAGGCCTCTGTCCAAACATTCACCGATTTAGCCTGTTTATATTCAAAACAGACAGTAGCGCCACTGATGGACCTCCTGATGGCACCTGGTATTTTTGGCCACTGTGTGACAGAGTGTTGGACAGGATGGGCCATTGGCCTGATCCAACATTGGCTTCTCTTATGTTCTTATATGTGGGGCAGTGATGCTCAATATTCATGGTGCTTGGGGGGCAAGAGTGGGAGGGTCTCTGGAGTTCTGGCCCCACTGGTGGACCTCCTGATGGCACCTAGTACTTTTGGCCACTGTGTGACAGAGTGTTGGACTGGATGGGCCACTGGCCTGATCCAACATTGGCTTCTCTTATGTTCTTATGTTTAGTCTCCAGGCACAAACCCTATCTGAACTAAGCTAACAGTGTAACAGCCCCCTCCCCGGCTTCCTTAGTCTTACATGGGCCCTGATTGGATGTTAGGTGCTCTGCACAAAACTCCCAAACGGGCATACAGGGGATTGGCAGCTGACATGAAGTGGCAGGACCCCTCTGTCGATCCGTCACAGGGTGAACTAAAGGTTTTTTAAGGTTCTGAAGAGTGTGGCAGACAGCATATTCAGGATAATATGGCATGCCATGGGGATCTTATACATATATTTTTAATCTTCGTTATCTGAAACTAGGTGCACTATTTTCAAGAGCAGAGGAACACTCTTCTTAGTGGATTTTAAAACAGCCCATTCAGATGCAGCAATTTTTCTCTTTGGATGAAATGTCATGTGTAGGTTCAGTGCAGCTCTGTCGTGAATATAAAATTAGCAGTAGCAGTTTTTCTCTTCGGATGAAATGTCATGTATAGATTCAGCGCAGCCCTGTCGTGAATGTAAAATTAGCAATACGATTCTCCATAATCCACAGAAAGTAGGTTTAAGAAACCCTTTTAAATGGTTCTTGCTCAGTTATAGCCATACTTTACTGTGAGCACCGAAGTTCTTATATTTCTTGTTCACTCGATTTGGAGATTATCATTGGCTTTCTGGAGCCCTGAACTGCTGTCTTTGTCATCAGGACAGCATCCGTCCTGTTATTTGGCCCTTGTGGCAACTTTCAGATCTTAACTCTTTTAAAACCTACATGAGCATTTTTTTTGTTTACTCGAGATGCCTATAATTGTTCGTTTCTATGCATGCCTCTGTAAACTAGAAAAAAATTGCTGTGAAATTGCTGTGAATGGCTTCTAGGAACTGTGTTCAACTTCCTTCTCTGTTGATGTGTTTGGGGTAAGGAAGGAAGCCCAGGGTAGAACATTTTATGCTACTTGCAGATTAGCTGAAAACCAAGCTTTATGGATGATTTGGGTGTAAGGCTTGCCCGTGTATTGAAGCAGTGACACTTTTTGTGTGTGTGTGTGTTGGCCTATTTGGAGGAATGTCGAAAATCAAAGTATGATTATTTTGGTTTCCATATTTTCATTTCCCCCTCATCTTTATCATTTTACATTTATATTCCTCAATTTCCAGGCAGATTACAGCATTTTTGTTGTAGAGATCTGTAAACCTCAAGCAAAATATAGCTTTTTACAAATGTTAGGTAAAGGTAAAGGTTCCCTTGCTCGAAAGCCAGTCGACTCTGACTCTAGGGTTGCGGTGCTCATCTCCGTTTCAAAGCCAACGAGCCAGTGCTGTCCGAAGACATTTCCGTGGTCATGTGGCCGGCATGACTAAACACCAAGGCGCACGGAACACTGTTACCTTCCCACCGAAGTGGTCCCTATTTATCTACTTGCAATTTCTTGCTTTCGAACTGCTAGGTTGGCAGGAGCTGGAACTAGAGACGGGAGCTCACTCCGTCCTGCGGCACACTTGGGTCTCGAACTGCTGAACTACCGACCTTCCACAGCCTGCAGTTCAGCGTCTTAACCACTTGAGCCACCGCAGCTCCAAATGTTAGGTGGAGAAAAAAGCCAATCCTATTATTTTTAGTTAAACAAGATGCACTCAGTTCTGAATCACTCTGGTGCTCTGCTGTCCTCAGGATACACATTTGCCTCCGGCACAGAACTCTTGGTTGAGATGGTACTTTTTCCTACGTTCTGTCCCACCCTCATCCTCCCTGGATCAAACAGCTCCTTCTTGCTCCACCGCCTGATGCTGTATCTTCTTTCCCCTGAGTCTGTGCAGACAGCAGAGTACAAGGCTTGGAAGTGCACCCTGGCAACTGCTTTGTTCTCATGGCTGTTGTCTGCTAAGTTAGAAAGAACTGTGACCAAGGCTCTTCCCACCCCACCCCCAGGTTTATGTAGACATTTTTTCCTGTTGAGCAACCTGAGAATGTTGAGAAAATTCTTGGAGGATTCTTACATGTTTTATCCTTTCCAATCTTGGCTGATAAAATCCTCTAGAAGAGGGCTAAGCCACTGGGTATTCTAGGTGATTTTTGGGGGGGTGTGTGATCGTTTTCCACCTATGGCTGTTGTGATTGTTGGGGAGCCAGTTTGGTGTAGTGGTTAAGTGCGCGGACTCTAATCTGGGAGAACCGGGTTTGCTTCCCCACTCCTCCACATGCAGCTGCTGGTGTGACCTTGGGTCAGTCACAAGTTCTTTCAGAGCTGTTCTCTCAAGGGCAGTTCTCTCAGAGCTCTCTCAGGCCTTGTATACCAAATATGTACAAAGACATAAAAGCAGCAGTTAAAACATTGGTCAGTGAAGGAGGGATCGCTGAAGGATCCCAATGGTGGAAGATTGCAACCGAAGGGCAGAGATGCGTCTCCTTGGGGAGCAAGTTCCAGAGGTTTGGTGCCATGACTGAGAAGGCTGCCTGCCAGGTTGCTACTTGCCTAATCTCAGAAGGCAGGGTCACCCAAAGCAGGGCCTCCAAAGATGACTGAAGTGGTTGGGCAAGTGCATAAGGAAGTAGACAGTCCTTCAGGTATGTTGAAGCCCCCAGGATGTATAAAGGATGCCAAGTCCAATACTCTTGTCCATATCTGAAGAGGTGTAAAAATACAATGTGTAGAAATATAATGGGAGTCTTTCATACAGATGACATCATTCTTGCTGAATAAACCTGTACGGTATCAGACCGCAGGTGTAGAACTCCCCCCATCCCTTCAACAGGAATCCTCCCCCCAAAAAAACCCCCCAAGACTAGTTGTTGCAGAGAATGTTTCTAGCCTAGTTTTCTCTCAGACAATACCAGTGGTCTACATCCAGGGAGTCTTTTTGCATGGAACATTATTCAGCCATGAGAGAAAACCACCACCACCCCACCCAGTATAAAGAGGTACAGCCCAAACACAGGTTTTTTTCCCCCTCATTGCAATCTAGACTCATGTGTCTAAGGCAAGAACTGGTAATTTATTCCTGGTGGTGGTATAGCTGGTTTGTCATTGCCTGCCTCTGTGTAGCAAACCTGGACTTCCTTATGGGTCCCCCATCCAATTACTAACTAGGTCTGACCCTGCTTAGCTTCTGAGATCTGACGAGAGGAGCTAACCTGGACCATCCAGGTCTAACCTACCCCTGACAAAGTCCTTCATCCCCATCATAGGTTAGTTGCAATCTGACACCCTCTCACTGTCAGTGTTTCACAAAGCTAATCTGAGAAACTGGTTTATGATTTCAGAATACGTATAGTTCAGTAGCCATGATATTGTTAACATGATAGTGTATCTTTATTTTATTAATTTATTTTGGGATTTTTATTCTGCCCTCCCAAAATGGGCTCAGGGCAGATCACAACAAATTGAGTCAAAGACTCGTTACAATAAAATCACACTAAAATCATAAAAAAACAATAAACAGTAAACATTAAAACCATGAAAACAGTTAACAGTAAAATTGGTAGCAGCAGTGAAACAGGTGAAGTGAAAATAGCAGAGGGCCTTCTTGATTCTCTTACAGCTTGCTTCAGGCTCTGATCTGATGAACTAGCTGAACTGATCATTTTATCACGCATGTTATTTTACCCCCCAGTTTTCTTATTCTACAAATCCTAGTAAAAATGCAGATGATTTATCTTGAGGTCACTCCTTGTTTCCGTCCTTGGTCGTTTGTGAACTTGCCAGTGAGGGGGTGTGGTTTTTGTTTTTTTTCTAACTGTGGCTTATATCTCTGCTAGGTTCCCCTGAATGCTTTTTTAAAATCTTTTTCTGTCTCATCTTTATCTTGTATAAAATATATCTCCCATTCCAATACAACAAAAAAAAGGCTGTCGTTTTTCATGTGTTAGGAAAACGGTGTCCTACTTGGCCAGCTTTCTGAAATAAACTCTGCATGTTACAGAGTTTTCGTGCCAAGTTCATAAAGCAGAGAAAAGTGAATGAGTTACATTCTGTGGATGGCTCTATTTATGTGCAGACTGCATCTGAGGGAGGGGGGTTAGCAGTGTGCCCAGCTGGGGATGGTGGTGGCTGGCAAAACACCAGGCTTCCATTTAACTGCGTATAAATATTGCCATTAGGGCAGGCAAGGAGTTAAACTCTTGGAGCTAGCACTGCCGATGATGAGAAACAACTGTGAGAATCACTGGGTATGGGTAACTGTTCCATGCAGGAAATGGGTAACTGTCCCATGCAGCACACTTTTGAACACTTGTAGCTATAGGAAAGCCCTGACCTGGATAGCCCAGGCTAGCCCGATCTCGTTAGATCTCAGAAGCTAAGCAGGGTTGGCCCTGGTCAGTATTTGGATGGGAGACCATCGAGGAATACCAGGGTGGTGACATGGAGATGAACGTCTCTTGCCTTGGGAACCTTCCAGGATTGCCGAAAGTAAACAGTGACTTGAAGGCGATAAATAAATAAAACGGATACCTGTCCCATGCAGCAGACTCTTAAACACTTGTAGCCATAGGAAAACTCGCTCAAATAGTGGCATATAAAGTAAGTTCTTTTTCTGTTCGAAATGAATAAACAAGTTTCACCAAGTTTTCCACACTGTGGTTAGGTTAGAAGAAATGCTGTGTAGAAAAGACCTCCACCTTGGCTCCCTTTCTCCTTTCCCTTGGAGGCCGGTGGTTCTCACAGTTGTTTCCCATCATCGGCAGGGATGAGCTTTGAGACCTATTATGCAAAGAACCTATTGCTCTTTAAGAAATCAGGTAAGGTGTAATCTTTTACAGTATTGCACAGTGGGGTTTTTTGGGGGGGCGAGAGAGAATGGGGCCTACCATTTTAAAAGATTTGAGATATTATGAATAAAGGAACTTTGACAAAACCATGCAGTATTGTAAAAAAACAACCACTTAAATAGGGTTACCAGATGTCCTCTTTTTAGAGTACATGCCCTCTTTTTGGGGTCCGTCCTCTGTTGGGCTATTCTTTAAAAAATGATGAAAACGTACTCTTTTTGGGTTGGAAGCAGGGCTTTTTTTCTCTGGGTGTGTGTGCCGGAATGGAGTTCCAGAACCCCTTCAACAAAATTCTTTTAGAAATGTTTAAAAGTTCATGAGTTTTCAGTGTACAGATTGAAAAACTTCATTTCCCTCTTGAGGGTTCCAGCACCTCTTTAAAAAACAACAACCACCACCACCTGGTTGGAAGGTTAGGAATATTCCTAGTTAGTAGCAGTAAGGTAAAGGTAAAGGTTCCCTTGCTCGAAAGCCAGTCGAATCCGACTCTAGGGTTACGGGGCTCATCTCCGTTTCAAAGCCGAAGAGCCAGCGCTGTCCAAAGACATTTCCGTGGTCATGTGGCCGGCATGACTAAACACCGAGGCGCACGGAACGCTGTTACCTTCCCACCAAAGTGGTACCTATTTATCTACTTGCAATTTCTTGCTTTCAAACTGCTAGGTTGGCAGGAGCTGGAACTAGAGATGGGAGCTCACTCCATCATGCGGCACCCAGGTCTCGAACTGCTGAACTACCGACCTTCCACAGCCTGCAGTTCAGCGTCTTAACCACTTGAGCCACCGCAGCTCCTTAGTAGCAGTTATCACATCTTAAATAGTAGGGTATTTAAAATGAGATTTGTCATTCAATGTTCCCTCTAAGCTGAGTTAGTGTTAGTGAACTAGCTCACAGTTTTTTAGCCTCCAGCTCATACATTTTTGTCTCAGCTCAGGAAGGGACGGCTCCAGAGCAAACTAATTTATGCAGCAGCCAAATCGCTCGCTCACAACTTCAATGCCAGTAGCTCACAAAGTAGAATTTTTGCTCACAAGACTCCACATCTTAGAGGGAACATTGATAGTGATCCCTTGTTTGGAGTTGTCAGCAGGGAAATATGTCCTCTTTTTTTTTGCTTTTCAAAATATGGTAACCTTGACTTAAACCGCTGCCGTCCAAGTTTACAGACAGGCGGCACCTTGTCCCATTAGTTCTCTCCTGAGTACAGGATTCAGTCTAGAAGGGATAAGTCTGAATGCTTAAGCTTTCTAGTAGGGAGCAAACAAAGATCACAGCATGGAAACTTACTCAGCAGTAGCAGCCTTGCCTATTAGGAGTGCTTCTGTCACTGTGGAGATTCATGTTGACACTTAAGGACAAGCAAAGGAATTCAAGAGCGTATGAGAGAGAGTTAGCGGGGGTTTCTCCCCCCCCCCCTTAATCTTTTCTGATCATTTATGAAGCTGGTGGCTGTCAGTGAGATGGAGAAGATTATGTTTTAAAGCAATTGTACTCATTTTAATATGAAATACTTGAAAAACGTACTGTCGGGCTGTTTGAATCAACTCAGCTTGTGGGAAATGAATGTGAAATGCCACTATAAATTCTTTTAAACACTTCTCGCTAGAATTTTATTAGCATTAAATGCTTTTAGTGAGAAATAGTAACGCTGTTGATTTTTCTTTTATTGTACTCAGTTTCATGTAGAAAGCAGATTTTATTTAAAAAGCTATGCACTGAGACCTGTTTTGTCCATTTTTTTGTGAACTGAAATGGCATTTCTTTTTCTTCTTTCCAGGGCATAATCCAGAAAATCGTGGATAGTCACAAAGTTAAGAATGTAGCCTGTTACGGTTTGCGGCTCAGTCACCTGCAGTCAGAGGAAGTTCATTGGCTGCATCCCGACATGGGAGTGTCCAATGTGAGAGAGAAGTTTGAATTAAGTCATGCGCCAGAGGAATGGAAGTAAGATTTTAACCTTTCCCATTATTTAAGTGCATGCCCTCTGAAAGTTGTGCAAGTTCATACGCTGGGGTGGGGTGGGGGAATGTGAAATGGTGGATTTCTTTTTGTCTGTCCAGGGAATTACTCAAGAGACGATGGAGAGGATCTGGGTATTTCAATAGTGTTGTCAAGTTCCACAGCCAAACAAAGAAGTACACGATTAACATAAGGTTATACTTTATTGTAAGAACTATAGAGGCAGTAACATCGTCACTGTTACCTAGCTAGCAAGGTCATAGATAAGCAAGGATGAAGGAATGTGGCAGCAGATGGTACACAGGTCAAGCAGATGAACTCTCGCCCATAAACATCATGGCAGCATAGCTGACAGGTGTATTGTTCTGGTTGCCAGAGTGAAGACAGGGGGATGGCAGATGAAAGTGAATTCTCTGTATCTGATTTTGTTGTGGAAGATGAGGGGCATACACCCACACCATAACCATTTGAAGAAATCCAGTCAAATTGAGGTGTAGGACTGCTAAATTTGAAGTTCGGGAATTAGTAGGCAAAATGAAAATTAGTAAGACTCCAGATAGCATTCGCCTAAGGTTCCTTAAGGAACTCAAATGTAAAATAGTTGATCTGCTAACCAGTATACATAACTTATTGCTAAAATCAACCTCTGGAGGACTGGAAAATAATACATGTTTCCTCAGTTGTTACTGCTGGGGGAAAGTATGGGTACTGCAAAGGGATGTCCTACCTCACCAAGTTTTTTGAGTTCTTTAAGCAGGAACAAGCACATGGATAAGGGGGGATCCAGTAGGTATTACACAGTTGGACTTCCAATAGGCTTTCCGTAAGGTTCCTTACCAAAGACATCTGCATAAGCTTAGCAGTTGTGGGATAAGAGAAGGAGTCCCTTTATGGATTGAAAACTGGCTAAACAACAAGAAGCAGAGTTTAGGGAGAAAAAAAGGCCAGTTCTTGAAATAGAGGGAAGTGAACAGTTGGGTCGGACGAGGATCGGTATCAGAACTTAGTGCTATTTAATTTATTCTTAAATGATATGGAATTGTGAGCAAGCAGTGCAGTGGCCAGGTTTGAGGATGATACCATGTTATTAAGTATGGTGAAACCGAGGCAGATTTTGACACGTTCCCTCTAATCCCCCCCCCCCACCCACCACCCACCAAACAGAGCACAATTTTGTGCTAAATGTGAATTATTAAAGTATTTTTAGAATGATTCATGAACACAAATACAAATTAAGCATTAACCATGAAGCTCAACAGTACATTTAGAATGATGTCACTTCTGTAGAAATATTTACAGCCAATAACAAGGTCTTGTCTTGGGAACAAGGTCCTAATCTAATATACTTATTACAAAAACAACTTAGGCCGTGGTCACACGGGCAGGAAACTGCGGGGGGGAAGCATGGCAGTTTGCCCCGGGGCAAACTAATGGGCAGTAAAGTGATCAGACCTCCCGTGGAGGTACCGTGGAGGTTCCATGGGAAGGGAGAGGTGCCGATCGCATGACAATCCCACGCGCAAAAAATAAGCGCGTGGTGCGGCAAACTGGATGTGTGTTTTTCCATGTACACCACGACTGCGCATGCTCCGTTGGGTGCTTGTGCGCATCCACGGAGACTTGGGAAAAAAAACACCTTTTTTGCAAGGGGACATGGGCGGGCGCCGGATGCCTCCGGAAACGCGATCAGACGCCTGCCCTTGCCCCGCAGTTTCCGGAAACTAGTACTAGTTTTTTTCCGAGTACTAGTTTTTTTCCGAGGTACTAGTTTTTTGCTGCGTGTTTTCGGCGGGAAGCCTCGGTTGAGTCACGGAAGTGCTACGCTGGTGAGATCGCGCCCGGAAACTCCGCTTGTCTTCCGTTGCTCTAGCGTGGCTAATGCTCCGTGTGACCGCAGCCTAGGACAAACAACGGCGTTCTAGTAATCATTCCATTTGCGTATTCTTCATCAGGTGTGTCTGTTGTTATTGTTCCAAGATTCTTAGTACTAGTCCATATATTATATTGGTACCACGCTATTGCATTTAAGTTCTGGTGACTGGGAATCACCAATATTAAACTATGATGTGACTAGATCTACACTACCTTTCAAATGGCTGAACTTCCCTAGTCATTTAGTGATTTAGTGCTTTACGTAATCTTAAAATGGGCAGTGCAAGGCCC